TTCTTAAGATGTTGGAAAAGTTTTTACTATTTCCATTTTAACATTTAGTATATACAAAATAAAATATTCATCAATCTTTCCAAAAATTAGGAATCACTTTAATAAATATAAAGGAAAGAATCTGAAGTTATAGTATATTTATAAACCATAAATATAGCAAATAAATTATATGATTATAATCAATATTTTAAATACCGTACCGGTCATTATACCGGACGAGCCAACGGTATGCGGTTCAACCGGTTCGATCGGTTTTACCATCTATTTTATCGGTATTAATAAATATTAAATTAATTTGTTATTACAATATAAATAATGTACAAAATTAACTTTAATTAATACTAAAATTAATTAACATCTAATAACAATGTAAACATATTAAAATGAAGTGTAAAATTTTCAATTTAAATAAACAAATAATGAAAATATATTAAAAATATTTTTTCTTAAAAAGAAATTGGCATAAAACTGTATTTTGGCCGATAAAACTGGTATTTTCCGGTATGAAACCGGTATAAACCGGTATTTTGGTAAAAACGGTATATAGAGTGTAACCGTACTGGTCGGACCACATATATCCGGTATTACCGGTAATACCGGCCGATATGGTACGATATTTAAAACATTGATTATAATATCTATATTGTTTTGAAATCAAATATTTCGTCAGTTAGTAAAGTTTTCAAATATTCCTAAAAAAATTTTAATCTATGTATAAGTAATTATAATAAAATAATATGTCAATCATTTACATTTTTATTTTGTGCACAATAGATTTAACAATAAAATATATACTTTTTATCTAAAACCTTTATGATTACATATCATGCTTTACAAAAATATATCTATAGATAAGTTAATAATAATAACCAAATAAATATTATTATGAAATAAAACAAATTTTAAAAATGAATAGAATGCACATATGTACACAATATTTATTTTGAATTTGTTTAAATATTTTTAAATTATTTACATAACTAAATAATATTAATGTATATTAAGTATTTATCATTATATATATATACAGTTAAACTTTTATAAATGTTATAAATAATAATAATAATAATGACTTTATACAACAATAAATTTTCTTAAAAAATAATAGTGAAGTTTTATAATGAACAAAAATAAGTAAAAATATTATTTTGTCTATATCAAAAAATAAATATAGATGTTAAAATAGTATTTATTAATATAAACTGTTATCAAGCTAACATATTGTTAAAATAAAGTTTTAAAAGATATTTTAAGAAACAAGCTCGCCGTGCATCGCACGGGATACACACTAGTTATAATGTAAACTGATAAAAAAATACAAAAGTTATTAACTTTAAAATACATTTACAATTTAGATGTTATAATAAGAAATGATATTAAAATGCAATTAATTCATGTAACATTACATAAATAATAAATATATTTATAGATAATTCGGACCCACTAATTAGTTTTGGGTTGGAAGTAAATTAAATTTCACTCGAGCCTAATAACGAAGAATGTACATTTTGCCACATAGAAATTCGAAAGAATCTGAAGCATGCGAGCCTGCCAATTAGGTTCAACATGTTTCGAATTAATATATAGGGGACATTGTGAGCTCAACTTTTAGACTCACCTTGTTAAACTTTGAACCGACCTGCATTTTATTTAAAACTCGATTAGTTAACTGTGTTAATGTTGGACTCCGGTTCTCAATTTCCATAACCTGAAGTTTAGTTCAGTTTGTTAAGACTAGAGATTAACATTTCTAAATTTTAACTTAACTCATGAACGCTCAAATTCAACTTAATTAATATTGATAAAGTAGTTAAACTCAAATTTATTTTGAACTCTGATATATTGATAAACGAGTACAACTCGAGTTAATTTATAAGGCGAGCATAAAGACTATACTACTGTCCAAGGATAGGGGGAGAGGAATGAGAATTGGGTTGACACGTATTTTATCGCTTGATTGACCAGTTCAAACTGTTAAAAAAAGAAAAGAAAAAATTGTTTTATGTGGGTATTAAGTATTTACTTTTTGTAAGTGGAAGATCTTGAATAAAGTTACAAAAATATGAATAAGCTATAAATGCTATGGTTGAAATTTGAGGGTATTTGAGTTTATGTAAGTCCAAAATTGAGTTTAAATAATTCAAAAATTATTGGATCCATAGATGTTCGATCTTTATGACTCTTTGAATATTCCAAACAAACTATAATCACGCAACGTGCATGCTGGAACTCTAGAAGAGTTTGTTAGGAAAGTGGACCGAAAACAATCTTGAATAAAAAAGAGCGCCTATAATCTAGCAGGCACGAAACTTGTTTCCACCCAACAATTGGGCGCGACAGCTCGTAGCGGACGTGACGTGCACGCAACTTAGACGCACATGCTTGTACCGGAAAGTTTCCAACTCAATTTTGGACGACCGGTCACGTCCCGAAATGTATATTTTAATATCTTAGCTCATGTAGATGTCGAATAATATATATATAAACACTCTTGTGAAGTGAAACCAATCGAATCTTAAGAGTTATTTGCATCATTTTACAAAGTTAATAATCACATGTGTTCTTTGTATACGTTCTTATTTTGAGGGTTCTAAAACTTAAGCATTGTTCGCGTAAAGTTTGTACATTTGAATTACCGTTATACCCAAATCAAACGTTGTTGAATTTTAGAGGCTTTAGTTGTGAATCATGGATAATATACATGGATATTTTACCTTAAGGAAAACATAACATCAGATACCTCGAGTTCGATTATTTTTTATCTTTTCCTCGCACACGAAAATGACATCTAGATTGTGTTGAGCTTGTGCATATCCACATATAGGTCTGAATTTCGTGGCCAAATTGAAAATGATAATTCACGTGGCGAGGCTCATCCAGATTGTGTTGTGCTTGATTGCTTGTGCATATCTACTCGAAAGTGATCGTATGATTATCCAGGTTAATGATATATATTAGAAAAAATTTTACAGGATACAAAAATTGTATCAATGGGTTAGATTGCAAACTTTGTGGTAATTTACTTGAACGCAATACAGTGTAGTGTAGACTCGAAAAGTATTATGGTTCTAAAAGCATATGGTGCACTCAGTATTTACAAGAGAGTAAAACACAGCATATAAGGAGCAAGGAAATCAAGCAGCAAGCCAGTAACTATGAAATCAATGCAATGCGAAAAGAGATTATAACAAACAAACTTTTGTTCAACACTTTCTGCAAAACCAAAATTCTTCCCCATGAGGCTGTTCATCAAACTTCACATATCTTAGCTTACTCATCCCATACCCCAAATTGTCTTTCAATTAAATAAACTGAAAAATAAAGCGAGAGAAGAAACAGCTCCGTTCTCATGCATCATTTACTGGATATTCAAACACGACATCTTTCCCCGAGAGCTTCCTGTATACCCCAGCAAATGTCTCCAGCTTGTTCTCGGTGTCATTTCTTGCCTTGGGATCCAAGAAGACCTGTTACCGAAACAAGAATACAAATCAACAAAGAGTTATAGCAAATGGGGTCTTGATTTAGAACTTTCTAGTTTTTTATCTAATCTGTGAGGGTAGTTCTTGCAATTTACCCCTAGGAAAAGAAAAATGGAAACGAAGCAGTCACCTTCATGATCTTTGAACCATCAAGTCTGTATCTGACACGTTTCCCAACAATCTCAGCCGGATAAACAATATCTTCGAGCATAGCATCATGCACAGCAGTGAGTGTGCGGGTTCTTGGCCTTTGAACGGCTGACCCCTTCTTGGGCGGGCGAACTATCCTTCTGGTAGCAATAAGTACCACTTCCTGCACAGTTTCACATTTACTAAATGAGCCGGACAAATATCCCCCCAAAAAAAGAAAGGTTTCCAGTATATCATTCACACAATGTTATCCCAGCTTTACCTTCCCACTGAACTTCTTCTCGAGCTCTCTCACGAGCCTGGGCTGAATCTTGCGGAAAGATTTCCTCAGACGGTAAGGCACATGAATCACAACAGCTTTCTTGCCTCCAGAAACATCAATTTGCCTGAGGGTAAGTTTGTACAATGATTAGTATCAGTATCTAACTCAATAAAGTGAATAGACATCAAAAAAATGTTCAAGGACTCACGAGGCAGAGTTGATGTATAGGTCCTTCAAATCACTCTTGATCTCCTGGTTGGTGTTTTCCAGATCAAACAATGCCTGTGATTAAATAAAAAAGAAAAAAAAAGGAAGAGAGAAAGAAAGAAAGTATACAGCTCATATTAATACAACATCGGTCAATTCATAACTGTTCCACAATAACTTCCAAATAGAAACAACGATAAATACCTGAGCAACATTCTCCTCAAACTCGGAGGGCTCAGCATCCTTGTCCTTGTGGATCTTTTGCAGGGCAGTATACATCTTTAACTGCACAGAGAGGTATGCAATGAAAACATACCCAATGAGTCCAATGACAAGTTGAACGGATTCAATGATCAATAATAACTGGATGCAAATATCAGAGAGAATTCCGTAATAACCAAATGTAAATCAAGAAAAAAACACGCCTTAAATCATCGGATTTTCGTCAAAAAATTCATTCTACGGTGACATGCCAGTCCTATTGCTTAATTATTGTGGCAATTGATCCTAATTTTGGGCTCTAGCTTAAAAATGTAAGAAAGGTTCCTTTATCAATAAAAATCTAATACAAAAAACTACAGAATATTCTGTACAATTATGAAAACCAATGAGTTGGGCCATTACTCAAGAGTGCAGAAATTAATGAATGCCCCCCATTTATTCTATATATCTAACCAAGCTTGCGTTTTGAGTCCTGGGCATACATAATCAACAATCACCCTTTAGAGTATATATATCAAAGGCATTTTACATCAAATAATGTAACTTAAACAACCACATAATCAAATAAAGCTCAATATAAAGGAAAAAGGGCAGTCCAGGAAGCCAAACGACAATATATTAACAAAATGCAACACAACAAATCAAAGCAATATTCTCAACAATGCATCCCACAATGAAGATTCAGCTTAAAAAAGAAAAGAACCAGGAGAGAGCTAAACCCAGCATAAAATTACTAATAAACGTATGAAATGCAGGAGTTCAGCAGACCAAAAAAAGGAAAAAAAAAAAAACAAAAGAACACAGGCAGGTTAACAACGTAGACGCTATCATATTCGGTCACTGCCAGAAGCAACAATCGTTTGATTCAAATGTGTACCTCTGTGAAGTGAAACGAAGTGGACAACCTAAGCTACGGCGCAGCACAAGAAACGCAGAGATAATGGCTGTGGGAAGGTTGGCGCAAATGAGATTAAATATCAGAAAAACCCTAGCTAGGATTTGTTTTACACTTTAAAAAGTGCTGGTCAAGTTTTGACACTTTCTAAAGCCTAAGGTGCTGTTTATGCAATGTACCATGTAATAAATAATAGAGGAAATTGCAAATTTGGTCCTGTTAGATTGGGACGGTTTTATTTTTAGTCCCTAGAGGCACATTTTTAGTCCTTAACCAATGTTTGTTCCGCAGTTGGTCCCAAATTCAACGGACCGTGAAATCACCGTTAACCCTCAGGACTAAAATTGCGACCATGAGACTAGAATTGGACAGTCCCAATCTAACGGGACTAAATTTGCAATTTCCCCAGTTTTATTACTTTTTTTATTGCAATTTTTTATCCCGTGAGTATAAAACAATCAGTGATAGTAAAAATTTAGTTTCGAGACAAAAAAAAATAAAAATAATAACTATACAATGTTTTCTATATTTAAAATTAACTTTTACTAAATAATAAATATATTTAAAAATTATTATTTGATTTTATTAGAAATATAGAACTGTAGGGGTTAACAAAATTTTTAAATAAAAATAAAAATAAAAGTAATATAAAATATTATTGGTTTGAAAACTCAGCCAAACATGAACCGATTAGAATTAGTTGAATGGACTGGTCAATAATATATATTTTTTGATAAGTTAATAAATATTTATATTTTTTAATATAACAAAAATCTAAATTTAAATATATTTGATATATATAAATTCAAATATATTTAAATTTATATTATTTTTTTTGTTTGTATATAAAATATTTTTAATTAAATAATAAATATATTTACAAATAAATTTTAATTTAATTATAGCTATATTGGTTGATAAAAAAAATACAATTGTAGAGGTTAATAAAAATTTAAAACGTAAAATAAAAATAAAAATAATATCAACTACTATTATTTTTAAAATTGGGTTAAACTGACTGTTGAATCTAGAGTCTGTCAAAAAGTTGGATTTCTTTGAACAAACTGGTTTCTAATGAACCAGTCAGAATTGGTTGATCGGACTGATCTATTGTGTGTGTGTATATATATATTTAAATACATTAATAAATATTTATATAATTTTTAATATAACAAAAATATAAACTTAAATATGTTTGATATGTATATAAATTCACATAAATTTAAATTTATATTATCATTAATGTATTAAAAAATTTAATTGCAATACAATGCTTTCTATATTTCAAATATTTTAATTAAGTATTGCATATATTTAAAAAACATCATTTAATTTTATTATAATTATAATGGTTGATAAAAAAAAACAAAATATAACTATAGAGTTTAATAAAATTTAAAAAATAAAAACAAAAATGAAAATAATATCAACTACTACAAATTTGGTCCCGTTAAATTGGGAAGGTCCAATTTTAGTCCTACGGTCGCAATTTTAGTCCTGATGGTTAACGGTGACTTCACGGTCCGTTAAATTTTGGGACCAAATACGGAACAAAAATTAATTAAGGACTGAATTTGGGACCAAATGCGAAACAAACATTAGTTAAGGACTGAAAATGTGCCTCTTGGAACTAAAAGTAAAACCGTCTCAATCTAACGGGACCAAATTTGCAATTTCCTCTAAATAATATATTATCAAGAATTTATGGGTATGTTTGATAAATATAATTTAATAAAAAAACAGTTTGTTTTACATATATTCACAAAACAAACAAATTAGGTAACAACCACTCAATTGAATAATCAGCCACACGAATAAAACAGGTAACTCGTTGAATTTAGTTAGGAAAACTACACTGACAGTAGCTTTGAACCAACTAAAAACACCACAATATATTAAAAGACTCTCGATAGGAAACTAGCAAAAACTCTTGCTAGTGAAGAATACACAAACGCATCCCAATAAGAGAGGAAAAAACTAAAACAGAACCTCAGTATAAAAACACAACACATATGAACTACGACTACAACCATTCTTCCCGCAGCAAGAAACCACTCCAAGCGATATGGCGACAACACCAAACGACATCCATACACGCAGACACAATTACAACCCATGAACCCGACCCAGAAACTGCCAATGAACGCATAATTAGGCCCGACATCAACAGATCCGACCCCACCATGCATACATCAACACAACCACCTAGAGACTTTTTCCCGCATCCACCCGACCGATTGCATCGACCCAATCCCAGACAGCAGATCCGGGTCTTGGCCCACTTCGTCATCTCACCACGCCCAACACCAGGGCCAAATAGAGTCACGAAAGCATGGGTGAACCCTTCTACCCCAAACCCTAGATCAGAGAAGATGAGGTAACGCCCCACTTTTATATATATATATATATATATATATATAAGTCGGAGGACCACCACTACGAAGAATCCGGGTTTCATCTACCCACCACACTGTCTAGGCGACATAATACGACGAGAACGAGATGGGGTACGTGCAAGCGTCTCTTCCTCCCTGGTGAAGAAGATTCTACAGGCCGCCATTACTTAGGAGATAGGCCGCGGGGTCCAGATAGGGGTGAGCAAAACCGAGGCGAAACTAAAAAATCGAACCAAACCGAGCTATTCAGTATGATTTTTGAAGAGTTCGGTTAATGGTGCAGTTTGGGTTTTGGAAAACCACAAATATTTTGATGCGGTTTGGTTTTCTGACCGAAGGGTGCGATTTTAACCGAACCGCACCAAATATCAAAAAGTGTCACTTAAGTTTTACACTTTTACATACATTCCATATACGATATACAAGCTGCGACTCTATGAGTAAAATTTTAGACAAAACATCACATAAACATTGACATTTAAAACTAAAAAGTAAAATTTGTATTTTATAACGTTTATTTGTGGTTATCCTTTTTTTTTTTTTTTTAATTCAGTAATCGGAAAACCACACCTAACCAAACCGAAGTTTTTAGTTCGGTTCGTTTTTTCCTTCTACTGCGGTGCTGTTCGGTGAAGAAATCTTGAATATTCGATTTTCGGTTTATGTCGGTGATCGATGCTCATGCTCACCCCTAGGTCCAGGGGTACCATCATCGCACGCTCGGAGAGTCCCATCGGGGAAGATGCCGGAGGAAAAAAAAACCGAAGGGGCTCCACGAGATTAAGGATTAGCGACGAGAATTAGAGATAACGGCCACGAGAACCTGTGAATTTTAAACTTTTTTATAAAATTAGTTCATAAGTCATAGATGAGTTTCGACCTCATAATTGTAGCCTTTTGATTGCTAAGAAACTAATTACTAAATAAGTTAAAATAAAAATTTCAATATTTTTTTGTTTTCTATTGTATGTCGAACTTATTATAAATATTATTATTATTATTATTTTTTTCCAGGCAGTCAAACTTATTTAACTACAGTAAGATCATGAATAAGAAATAAGCTATCAAATACATTTTTATTATTAATTTATTTTTTAATAAGATTTAAATATATATATATTTGTTTTTTGGATTTCACTTGAAATTTATCGCAAAAAATTCATATTTTACCTTAAACTATTTCCTCGTTCAAAAATAAGAAAATAAAAAACTTAAAGAAACAGAAAAA